AAAAAAAAAAAAAAAAAATACAATTCACTGGACTTTATACCTTTTCCTACACTCCAGTGCAACAAATTCCATTTTTCTTTCCATACCCCCTTCGAACTGCGCGCGAAAGGAACCCACAACAACCTGTGTGCTTAGTAAATTTTATGGAATGGCGATAAAAACAAAAAAAAATTGCACTTTAAATGTATAGTAAATGAAAAAATAGCAAAACGGAAAAAACAAGAAATGGTCAAAGTGCTGAAAAAAACACCTCAATTGTAGCACACCTTTAAAGCGAAGGGAACAACCATGGCTTGCTTTCGTAAACACTAATGTATTCGTATGCATAGTACACCTTAAAGCATGTCCCATAAGTGAACACGCGCGTATTTTTTCTAATAGGAAAACAAAAAAAAAAAACTCCCCATACAGTTGGCCCCCTTGATACAAACGCATGTACACAAAAATAGAAACATTTTTGTATGCATAGGCTGATGCCATTTACGGGGAATGGTGTGAAAACCCAACAGACGTTCCCCTTGATACGCATATTTGCAAAGATCCAAAAGTATTTCACCTCCCTATAGTTTTGTTTTTTAAATGTTAAATCTTATACCCAAGAGAATCGTTTCCAAAACTCTGCTTTTTGGAAAGAGACCAGTCCAGAGAATTCGCGTGGGTAAAATGGCAAACTGAGAGGAGTAGTAGCCCTTGCCAAAGGATGCAAGATGGTTTTATTGCCTCCCCGTCTGCGTATATACACGTGCATGCACTTTTGTGCTAGCTTATATGGAGTAACCTATGTTCGCTTCCCTTCTACACAGGAAAAGATAAGAATGTCCTGGAGTTAAGCCTAAGTGACGTCAATGCAATTTACGACGATGTGGATGAAAACACACATTTGCACAATAAGGATTACAACCCACTGAAGTATCAGCAATATGTGAAGTACAAAATAGCAGCCCTAAATCTAATTGAGGCACACAAGAATGAGGAGAACAAAAAAACGGCATTGACCAACATTACATGGTACGCCAAAATTAGGGATTATTTTTTTATACACTTTTGCAAGAATCAAATGGAGTTAAAAGAGAAGGTGGTTCCGAAGTTTTTTTATCCAATGGAGAAGTAGCTTTGGCTTTTTTTTTTTTTTTTTGTTAGGTGTGTGAATATTCTTCCGTTTGAGGGAGCGCCTTCCGTAGGTTTCTATTCACGTGAGTGTGTGTATTGTAACACTGTACGGAAGACGATATTTGCCTCTTGTTGGCGCACCCCATGTATCATATTTTTTTTTTTATCGTTTTAAATGTAAATGCCAACTTTGAATGGATGGTGCACGTAGGGGGCGGTGGCTTCCCCGTCACGTAGCAGTCCATGTGAACAATTAAAAAAAGAAAACACGTAAAAGTACGGTGGATGATCTAATCCACACATCGCTTCCCCCTCAGCACCACCACGTGCGCGTAGACCCTCTTCACGTGAATGCAGCGAATTGGTGGGCGGCGGGGGCAACCGCTTGGAAGACATCCCCTTGTATAGAATGCACCCTGAAGGTTCCCGTCCCCCAGATATGCTCATTTTTTTTACTCATCATTGACGGAATAAAAATATTTGTTCCACTTGTTCTGATCGTAAAAGTCGAACGGTATCTCCGTCATGCGCGGTATTTCCTCAGCATTAAATGTGATTACATTTTTTGTTCTCTTATTGTTTACCCCCGGATTTTTATCGTCCTCCATTTGTTCATTCCGGGCGATACCTATATTATCGTGAGCTTTATGTTCTGTGTCCCTCTGTGAAAAGCGTTGCTGGTAATAATATTTTGAATTTGAAACGTCTCGAAAATCTTGGAACAATTTAAATTTGTTAAATGAGTTTATTAAATTTTTTTTTTCATTTATGAGAAGGTCAATTAACTGACTCTGCGATAATTCTTGAAAAAATTTTATTTCCTTTTTAGGTGTATATACACTTATCATTTTTGCCAATGACTTTTCATTGGACAGGATGTTCAGTGCAATTCGTATGAATTCCTCTCTCTCTTTGTAAATGAAGAAGTCATCCCGTAGTGCGTCCTTCACATGGTCCCCCAAAGCGTTGCCATTTTCCCCTTTCACATTTTTGTAAATCGTGTCACTTTCATACAAATACAGCTTGACTCTTAAATACCTGAAAAGGTTGTTCGTCCATATCCAGTACAGTTTTTCGTTATACTTGTCTATGAACTCTACATCTTCTAGCGAGCACTCGTCTGCTTCGTTCACAATAGACTTTACTTTTTCGTGTATTTCCTCGTCCGAAAAGTTCGTTACACTGGCCAGTAGATACGGGATGCACAGCGTGCACAGTAGTGTGTACAGGGCGCTCAATTTCATCTTCTTGCTCGGTTTCATACATGTAAGGGGAGACAGGCACAGCGGCACTAATGTGTAAAAAGAACCCCCCCTACTTTGCAGGAAATTGAACGCCCTTTTTTTCCATGCTTCGGGTGGAGCCCTCGGTGCATTTATATGTTCCCTAATAGCGCGCTGATTTTTAGCCCTGTGTTTCTCTTTTTGCCTATAGGTCTGCTCACAAAGTGTGCGTGCATGTACGCATCTACGTGTCCGACAACATCGGCGCACCCTCGAGCGCTCCTTTCAAAAAAGAAATTTTAAAGTGGACGCATGCAATGTCCTTGCAGTTAAAACGGTGAGAAACATTTTGTGTCGCAGTTAACTCAGCCAAAAGAGGCATTTTTAAAATTCGTCTTTTTTTTTTTTTTTTTTTTATACTATTTTTCTCAACTGCTTTTCCGTGATGTAAATGAGGTCAGGAAAAAAAAAAAAGGGAAGCGACACCAGGCTACACATATACGCATGCACTTATGCATGTGTACACGGTACTCATTCCAGATTTAATCTATCCCCGAAAAGACAAAACCAACTTGGGAGTCCACGCCGGAGTAACCATTTTCGTTGTGCTCCAAATGAGCTGGAAAAAAAAAAAAAAAAAAAAAAAGCCCTAATGCGCCTCAGTTTTGCAAGGGGAAAATGATCTAATGATCTAACTGGGTCTTTTGTTTTTTTTTTTTACACTACATAGACAACGTTGTGTTGCCATAACGGGGAAAGTTGGGGCAAGGAAGTGTGTTCGACCTTGTGTATGACAAAACATGCATGCGTAAACGTGCATACTTGCCCAGGCCGGTACCAAAACAAATTTGACCCTTCCCGCGGGAATAACAAAAGTTGCACGTGGGCAAACCTGAGCAACACACTTTGTTGTGTGTGTTTCCAGCGTGGGCCCGTGCTCCATCCACAAAAAAAAAAAAAAAAAAAAGCGAATAAATAGACACTGGTGTGATGCATGCTGTGTGTTGCGTTATGTTTGGTACGTGTGTGACAGTCTAGCAACGCTAAAACTTCCATAATATTGGTGCCTCCTCAAAATGTTCATCCCCCACCACGCGCATCATTCAACATAAAAAAAAAGTTCCAAATGTGCACATAACATTTGCTACTTTGGTCGTTCTTGCAGTTGCCGCTAAAAAGTTCGTCTTGGTAAATTTTACTTATGCTGCTTTTAAAAGACGTGAAAAGTCGGGTTAGTGACTGTCCAGTCCTGTCATTAATGATGTTCCCCATTTGCAATTTTTTAATCATGGGGAGTAACAATGTGAAAAAATAACATGACCTATTCAAAATTTTTATTCCCTTCAGACGATCCGCCTCGGCATACGCAGGTTGCTCTTCCTTCGAAAAATTCCCCTGCACAGGAATTATTTTTTCGAAGCAAATATCTTCCAAAAATTGCAGCAAATATTCAGAGGACTTGTCTAAATGTTTTGAAATTTCTGCTCTTCGTTTTCCATCGTAAAGACCATTTTGTGCGTACATTTTAAAAAGGGTGATAAATATTTTGAGCAAATCGTACATATCAATTACGCTTATGAGGGAGGCAGAACAATGACCCTTTTTTTTATGAACAAGCAAGGCATTTATAAAGCCATTAAACTTGCTCAAGTAGAGTAAATAAAACAGAGAACTGATTTTATGGCTGGACAAAAAATTACTCACATTGGAAAAAATCACAGTGTTTTCTTTTCCAAAAGGGAATGGCAAATTTTTGTAATTTCTCCGATTGTTGTTGGTGTATTCCGCAGATAATCCCCTTCCCTTCTGCAAAACGATTCGGTACAATGCCAGGATGTTATCCACGAAGGATCCACGCAGTTCTCCCTTCAACCTCGCGCTGCTGATGCAAAATATTGCCATCGTCTTGCTGTTCGCCTGAGTCATAATTAACCGACGGATCTTTGCAAAAACGGCCTCATACACATCCACCCCTGCAACAGTTGTTCTGTGCAAAATGAACAATTCGAAAATGTTGCAAATGTCGATTAAATTTAAAAAATGTGTACATTTTAGTAACAGATAATTTGCTAAGATGTATGTGAATACGTTTCGCTCCTTTGCTTTGAGACTACTATGGATGATGACGGCCATGCTGTGGACGTTCTCCCGCATGACCGCACTTTCTTTATCCCTCTTCTTGTGCACAGGTGAAGTAGCACTATAGTTGAAGCCGATATCACTCTGCAATAAATGTGAGACGCATTGCATTATTTCTCCTTTTGATATTGACGCGAGGTCTTTCTGCACATATGCCACACTATCGTGACGTTCATGCGCATTCTCGTCGACTATCATCTCGTCCATCTCTTCCATGTGCTCCTCCGAGGGAGCAATCCGCCCTGTGCGACTCCCCCCGGAAAAGCAAAACTTCGCACCTCTTTCGAACTTCAAAAAGTGACGTTCTAGGTTCCCATGAATAGGATGGGCTACGTCCCCCAGGAAGCTGATCGATACATACACATGCGATAGGAAAGTGTACATGGGACAACAAGCCGATTTGCATCTGGTCAAAAAAAACATAAAAGCAGACACGTCGTGCAGGTTGAAAAGGTTGTATCCATATCTGGGATATCCTTTTAGTAGGCAATTTGCAAAAAGTGCCTGATCACTGGTGCTGCCCAACCTATGCACGGTGTGGTAAAAACGGTCCATTTCCTCCTCCCTGTTTGTATTCCCCACGTTGGAAAAAAAATAATTCTCTATGCACCCCTTAAAATGTGTGCAAAGGACGGAGAGGAAGCTCAAATTGAAGGAAGGATCCTTTCTCATTTTGTATAAAATATCCATACATAAGACTTGGATAAATTTATACGCACAGAACTGTACCATTTTATCGCACTTGCCTTTTCTTTCTTCCACCAAACATTTTAATATGATCGTCATTTCTTTAATGGTAAAGACACTAACGTTGCGAAGGAATAAGTCTTCCATTTTTGTGTACACTTCTTCCTTATACTCCTTGGTGAAATGATCTCTCAATTTGTGTAGGTTGTGTAAAATGCAAGAAAAGTGGATGTAGTTTCTTTCACATTCTTTATATATATGTGGTAGTAGTAAACTGACTTTCTTTTCTGTGTTTTTTTTTTCTTCCCAAGTTGGTTTTTCCCTCCCAAGGGATTTCAAAATGCGTGTGATTTGTTCAAAATTCATATGTGTTTGACATTCCTGCAGCCACATTTTTTGCATACCACCCCTACTGGTATGGTGGTACTCCCTCGGAGTGCTGAATGGGGAAATACATTTATTCTTCTCTTTATACGTGACGCCGTTCATTCTGCCTCCCAAATGGGCCACTACCACTTGGGCTGGGCCCAGGCTGCGATTCGCCCTACATGTCTGCACTACACCTTCGATGAGCAGCCTTTTTCCCAAGTAGGTAAGAAAATGACGCCCAGAATGTACAGTCTTACTGATCACTTTTTTGTTCCTCCTCAATATGGGAAGTACATTTTGCATTTCGCCTTTTATTGTCATGATTGTTGCTGATTCCCCCCGATGTTTATGGCCGAGCCCTCAGCTTGACATGCCCACTGACGTGGCACCCATTTTGTTAACAAGGCTTCGCACATATGCAGCGAACATATCGTGTACGATTCTGCATAACGCGTTGAAGGTAGGATAAAAAAAAAAATAATAATAAAAATTAAACACAAAAGGAAAAGAAGTTACGTAGCTGTATTAAAAAGGAAAACAAAATCGGAAGTTACACCAATGGGGAAAGGTAAAAAATTAAACACAAAGGGGAAGAGGAGTTACATAACATTAGTGAAAAAGTCGCAAAAAAAAAAAACAAACGCAAAAGTTGGGCTAATGTGGAGAGGGGAAAAAACAATTACAACGTCTAAATTGGGGCAAAAAAAAAAAAAAAAAAGCGGCATGCAACTGCCAAAAGAGATTTACCCAAAAAAGGTTTACCCAAAACGGGGGCTTCAACTTTTATGTATTTTCCACGCGAGAATAAAAGGCATTCCATTGGGGGTACCCCACTTGGTATATGTGTGAACGTGCTTTCCCCAAAAGGCACATCACGCCTTTCTCCCCCGCACAACACCAACACGAACATGAACAAAACCCCGTCCGGATAAACTGCTTGCCCAGCAGTGACCCTTTTCTCTTTGCTTCACTAAAAAAGAAACTTGTGAAGAAAGCAAATTAGAAGCAAGATAAGTAGGCACAACGACTGATTCTCCTGAGAACCCATGACGCAGAATATCCCATCCCCAATGTAATTATGCTTACACTGGCATTTTATATTTGTGTTTTTATCAATGGAACACGCTGCATTCACATCGCAATTCCCGTTGTCCTTCGAGCATTCCTTTACTGTCTTAGGTATGCACTTAAAATAATCTACACTTTCATCAGGCATGTAATTAGCTAAACATCTGCACTGCTCCTTATCCTTCTCCAAAATGTAGCATCGAGCGTTTGGCCCACACTTGGAATATTCACAAACGTGATTAACTTTGAAGTGTACAAAGTTTCGTATTGCTGTGGCGTAGAACTTGGTTTTTATAATTAGCTGTTCCACGTTGTACACTGCGTTATCGATCATGCTGGTCGTTTCTTTCAATTCTCTCCCCTCCTTGAGCAGCCTGTTCTTTATCTTCTGTGCGTGGTCTGAATCCTCCGCAATTTGTTCTCCGGTAGAGGGAATCTCAGTTTGTTTATCTCCGTCTGTTTTTTGTTCTGTGTTTTCTTGTGTTTTTTCTACTGTTTGTTCTTTTGCGTTTTCGTCTGTTTTTTCTTCTGTTCCATTGCCTACATCAACATTTTGGGTCTGAACCAGATCATCCTGAGCTTTTGCGACATGTTTAACATTCGCCCCATTTTTATTCAAGGTGAACGGATTCCCCTGAACGGAGTTACACCCCTGCTTTACTGCTCCCTGCGAGGGGGAGTGGGACGTGGTTCTCAAGTGTGCATTCCTTTGTACATGGCCCATCATGCCTGTCCCCTCCTTCACCGTGCCCATATCAGTATGGTACACTTTATTTTGTCCTTCGGGTATAAAATAGGTTTCTACATTTTGTACAATATTTTTCTCATCGAGGAAAGTATTGCCTTGCTTTGCATCACTTCCTTCTTCTGCCTTTTGTGTGTCACTGTGGGAGGCAGGATTGTTATGATTGGAAGTTGCGCTTTGTCCTTGATTTGAAATGCCCTCAGAGGTGTTATAATCGTTGGTGGTGTCCTGTTGGTTTGGAACATCCACCCCATCCGTTCCTTTCAATTCATTTCCATTCGCGTGGACCCCATTGTTCATCACATATAACAGGAGGAAAATTATAAACGTGAGTGATTTGTTCCACTTTGCGCGTTTCATTTCTTGCGTCTTGCCTATTCATTCGAAAGGTTCCTTTAACTTTGAGGACTGAAAAATGCATATGAGCATTCAAACATTCCTGTTCACACCACGGGGAAATATGGTATGCGTAATAATAACACGCATATGTGGATGAACCAAGAATGAAGTTGGAATTTATTTATCGGGGGAAGCATGAATTGGATGAAAATTGCACTCTCACATTTCGGTTTGAAGAAGTTGGTACGAGAGAGAGAGAGAGAGAGAGAGAAAAAAAAAAATAACCTGGCAGAACAAAGCTGGAACGTCGCAAAGAGGGGAAAAAAAAAAAAAAAAAAAAAAAAAAAACATGTACATGCATGCATACATAACTTATGTAAACATAAACATGCGCATGGGCAGCCAATTTTTTTTTTTTTTCATTTTTCAATTCTCTGCGCACGACAGATGAAAATCGACGATAGACCATTTTTTGTCCCATCTGCGCAGAAACAATTCAGTATATCTATGTTAAAAAAATGGTACACGTTTTTATACACGCGGGCGGCGTCGCCTCCGTTACATGTGCACAGGTGAAGTAGACACAGAGTGAAATGCTCTTAGATGTTGAACAAATGTGGCCAAACTTGCTTCCCATTTTGGTAAAGACATCATCCCTTTCGTGTGCGGAGCAGCGCGAGGAGTGCGAAGTGGCCAGCCGCAAAGACATAGTGGCAACGGAATGGCAACAGAGTAAAAACGACCGACCAGCAAAATTGGCGCCGGGCACGAACAAAACGAAGCATCAACGGAAAAAGCGAAGTCGATTAATCCAAACGGCCGCGGCGAAACTGCGCCGACGAATTCGCGCAACTCGATTTTCCCTTTTGGTGAATCATCGCCCCTCTCTTAAGCGTTCCTTCGAGCAGCGGAGTAGCCATTTTTATTGCCACGTCGGAAAAGTTTATCATTGTGGCAACAAAGTGGAGGAAATTCGGCCCCCCTCTTCCCCACAAGTACTAACTTCATTTGTAACAACATGGATGTAAGAATGTTTGAGATAAATTAAAATGGTCAATTTGTTTTTTTACTTTTTTTTTTGGAAGAAAAAAGTGCAAATTGATGTTTTTTTTTTTTTTTTCTATTCCGTTCGGGGGACACACTTGCGTAGGACGTTTGTCCAAACGAATCGACGGGGAGTTATACTCCCCCTGTGTATCTCTACCCGTTGATACTTTGCCATATGTTCTCACAATGGCAGCACAGAGGTGGGGCACACCGCTCAAGGGATGTCTACGAATGAGTACCTCCCTTTTGGATGAAAATGGAGAGGGGGTGATGCAGAAATGACCATCCGGTTCCAACGTATCGGTCAGCAGATAACCGTGTGACAAGCAGGAAGTGCACAATTCACATTTCTTTATTATGCAAACCAAATGGAGGAAGCACAAAAAGGACCAATCACGCCATAACGCATATGCGCGATGTGTCTCATACCGATTGATTGCTATTGAGATAGGGTATGCCTTTCCGCTAACTGTCCGAGGCAACCTTCACAGCATTCTGTGCCTCCGAATGACTGACCATGTTGCGTAGCTTTACACAAGTATACTACATAAAAAATGTGTATAATCATCTAACACGGGGGGGATATTTTAAAAATGCAGTTAAATTTGTTCTTGCCTCTGATGGTGTATTCATTTGCAATTATTTATTATTTTTTTAAACCACGCTGTATATGAGTCTGCATTGGCTGAATTAACTCTCTCTCCCTCTTGGCCCCCTCAAATTGAGGTTCCATTTGTTGGCCAACCCCCCTTTGGGACATTCTTCTAAAGATAGAAGATGCATGTACATGAATAAGAGAGTTGACGTGGGTGCAACTGGAAGGTGTTCAATTGGTATATGCTACACCTACAACTTCATACACGGGAAAAAATACGTTAAAAGGGTTACAACAATTTTTGGGGCCTATCACCGCGGTGACGCCTTTTTTCGGAGAGGGACAAATGGAAAATAAAAAAAAATATCCTATTTGGAGGAAAAAAAACAAAAGAAAGAAAGAATGATCGTTGCAGGTATTCACCTAGTGTTCACTTCATTTTTTATGCACTTGTTTTCAAGGCGACAAAAACCTAACGGCTCCATCTCCTTATGCGTATATCAGTTGGTAAGTTCATTTGGGTGACTCCGTTTTAGTTGTGCGTATTTAGAGATTCATGCCAGATGCAGAGTCCTCCGTGGAATCACCTTACTTCATTTTTAATGACCCAATGCTCACAGTTCGCACTTGAACAAAAGGGGGGCTTTTCTCAACCTTGCGCGGAGATCAGTAGAAGGTAGCATTTTTTTTTTTTTTTTTTCCCATATTTTTTCAAGGTAGCAAAAATGGGGCTATGCCAATTAGCCTCTCGTTTCTGTGCAGCTTACTAATTATATGTAATGAATACAGGTTAGAGTGGTAGCCCCTCATCCGCGCATGTATGTGCAGGTATAGATGGGGGCCTACGCACATACCTAACTGCGCACCTCCTTATGCGTTGCCCTCTCGACAGGGTCGTTTTTGAAGTGGCTGAAGAATGAAGGGGTTCAGCGTCAGCAGTTTGTTCGGCCCCAGTAAGGGGGACGGCCCAGCTGAGGAGGGCGTCCAAGATGGGGAAGGTAACAAAGCCGAGGAAAGTAGCAAAGTTGGGGAAAACCACGAAAGTGGGGAACCTGGCGAAGCGGAGGGAGGTGGGTCCCCCCCGGAGGTGAAGAAAGAACCCAAACAACTCGGAGACATAAACAAAATCGCGTTTTACGAAGCGGTGCTAAAACAGCTGCAGGACGACGATCTAACCGATTCGTTCGAAACCCTGAGGAAGGAAATAAATTTGGAGGAAAGTAAAACGGTGAAGGAAAATTACCTGTTCAAGTTATACTCGAAGAGCTTATACAAGGGTGCGTCTGAGTACGATAGGGATATTGAGGGAGAGGATGGAAAAAAAAACGACCAACGGAATGATCAAATTGCAAAGTTGAAGACATACGGGATGTTACTGAAAAATGCACAGCTCCGTAGTAACAATGAGACTGTGCTAAATTTGGATTCATTAAAAAAGGACAAGGGAGGAAGGATAGAATACTCTTATGATATTACTGACCGAGTGGAATTAATTCACCAGCATAAAGTCACTTGCTGCGCAACGAACAGCACAAAAAATGTACTGTGCTCAGGTGGAGCAGATCACGTTATAAAAATTTGTAAAATATATGAAAATGTGAAGAAGAGAAAAATACACACCATTGACAATAAACACATGGGAAAAATTAACTGTCTGAAATTCCACCCTGTAAAAAATATTTTATTTTCAGCTAGTGATGATTGTACTATTCAAATTATTGATGTGAGTAAAATATTAAAAAAGCAGAAGCCACAATTTAGGTACAGAAGAAATATAAGAGAAAAAATAAATGATCTCCCCAGCCAAAATGTGGTCATACAAGATAAAAATGCCTTCGTACATTTATATGTCCATCCCTGTGGAGATTTTTTATATGCCTGTAATAAAAATGAAAATTTTGTTAAACTGTTCGATTTGGAAACATTATCTTGTTTCACTTCGTATGAAAAAAAAGATCAACATCATAGTGCCACCATCAACTGCATCAGTGGGACTTCAGATGGAAGTTTGTATTCTTCTGTGTCTCAAGATGGACATATAAAAATATGGGATGGACATGAGTCCAAATTAGTATATACAAAATTGAATGCTCATAATGGCTATTCCGTAGAATCTGTTACCTTTAGCAAAAGTAATTATTATATGCTTACCTCTGGACTTGATGGGCAGACAAAAATTTGGGATATTCGAAATTTTGAGTCCCCCTTCACCTTCGGGAATGGATTCCTATCATGCACTTTCAACAAAAGCATTTTCATGAATGATGAACATTTTATCGCAAATGTTATTCAAACCAATGACCACTTCACTTCCAAGTTTTACATTTACAATGCCTACTTTGGTAACCTTGAATACAATGTGCAGAATATACATAACGACCAGATTGCTGATATCGCCAATGCTAGGGATGGGCTGAATGTCCACACTGCAGGCCACGACTACGTCTGCAAGACGGTGAGGATTGATCAGCGCCCCACGCACGACGGGGGGTGACCCGCCGCGTGAAATTGATACGACTCATCGACGCAGCACACACTAACGTAACCCGCTCCCTACCCCTGGGGGTATTTTTTCGTAAAACTGCAACACAAGATGGGGCCCTTCTGCCGAGGGCCAATCACGCATTGCGTGTGCGAATATGAGTTCACCCTCATTTGTGTACCCCGTTCGGCATGGGCTCCGAGCAGAGTAACGTGCATTATCTGTCTAACTCATAGATCCATGTGGGCACCTCCCACTGAATATATGGTCCGCATTTTAAAAGCGGCACATACTTTTTTTTTTTTTTTTTTTTTTTTTTTTTTTCTCCTGCGCGTAACGAACAAAATAGACGCCCTAAACATGCTACTTTGTAGGGTTGGCAAAATTTGCACAAAATAAAGTGAACTCCGCGCGCCAGGCGCCCATTGGAAGGGACATAAAATTTGTTGCGATGTCAAGTGGGTGACCCCAATAGCTGAGCTAATCCATGTGCGCAAATGTAAGAGGGAAAAAAAAAATTGCATAAGCGGCTTGTAATTTGTACCACACATTATGAAGCACGCGCGGGGGGAAAGCCTGCTCGTGAAATTGGGGAACTGCTCCACCCCAGGCACGACCAGCAGTAGTGATAGGAGTGAAGAATGCAGCGACGATTGCAATAACCGGGGTAGCAGCCGCGGAGAACATAGCTCCTCTGGGGCATCGCTGCATGACGAGGTCGAGCGCACCATGGTGAGGAAGTACATCAAAGGGATGAAAAAATATAAAGAGAAAAATGAATTTTACCACTTCAAAAAATACTTAGCAGAAAGTAACGTCTTTTTTGTATTCGTGGACTTGTTTGTGAAGCTGATACGGAACAGGGAGAGAGTGGAAAATCCCTACGACTACGTCATGAAGTACTTTGGACAAAGAAGGCACACCTCAGAGGACGACGCTCCCAGGAGACATTTAATCAATGAAAATAAAAAGTATAGAATAGAAAATGAGCAGCTGGTTGGGAAAATAAACGAGCTGCTTGTCCAGTTGGAAGACCTGCGCAAGAGAGATACCTGCGATTTTATTGCAAACTGGTTTTTCAAAAACGGCGATGAGCAGCGTGGCTCGTCTGATCTGTTTGGGAAGGAGTTTATGGGCATGGGTCATAATGGGGAAAATGACCCAAGTGGACACAGCACCCGGAACAACCCGAACGGGCTGCATGGCCACGGAGACTATAGCGAACCCCCTCACTTTGTATTCACTCGAGACACATTTTATCTCTTTCTGAGTTTCCTGGACGATTCCACCAGAACGCAACTTCGTGAGGTGCTGACGGGGGGGTCCACCCATGCAGGGAGATCTACCCTGTGGGGGGAGATACACAAGGGATTGTGTGTGTTTGTAAATGACTACTTGTCTTTGGAGAAGCTGGGTGAGAAGGGGGCTCACAAATCGAACAGGGAGAAGCATGGCGGAGAGTAAATGGGCCTCACACTGCACCATCAAGCTGCCCACAGTGCGTTTTCAAAGTAAGGTCCGCTTCGCTACCCTGCTGCTGTACTACTGCGCAACTATGGCGACTTCACCGACTGCGCGCAGAGAAGAATAGTGGTGAAGAGGGTGATGTAAAATTTATTCTTGGAGAAAAAGTGGAAAACGGTATCCACCAGCGAATTGGACAAGTGCTTCATTTTAATCACATTGACTGGAGAGAAGGGTCCACAAATACGATTACCGAATGTTCGATGGGTACTCTGTGGTAGAGTAAACCTGGATCTGTCTACCACAATGAGCTCATGATAGGTATTTAAAAATTTATATTTTACATATAAGTACATTTCTGTGTTTTGCAACATATCAGCGTAAGACATGTCTTCCCTACAAGGAATCTTAATCAAGGGCTTGGGCACATCACAAAAATGGGCAAAGGAAAATTCGTCATTGAATAGAAGGGAGCTGTTTTCAATTCGAGATTGCAAAATTATTGTGAGGTCGAGGAAAGGACCTTCTAAATCATTCTCTGTTATGGCGCCCATATTTAGGCAATTATTTATATGCTGTTCCTTTAGGGTTAAATTTCCAAATAAAGCCTTCTCTATAATAAGTCCATTTTTCCCCCCCTCTTGTTTGAGTTTTTCACAATACACACTTTTTAATTCCTTAATTTTATTTGTGTATATGACATCTGCTTCCACGTGCAACTGTCTCCTGCATGTCTCAATGGTGGACTCATCAATGTACCCATTTAGCACATCGTAGTAGAATTTTTCAAACTTGTTTGTTAATATTTGATAAGCCTTTTGAATGTAGTGATAACATTCTTCGTGTTCGAGGGACAATTTGTTGTGCACACTGAACAGCTTGGAGAGTTGAAGGTAACTCTTCCTGATAGTTTTTCCATCCGCATTGCTACTGACGCTCAGGACGTCATAGTACTTTGGCTTCACACTATGCTGACCTATTCGCTTGATCTTCTCCACGTAACTCCTGAGAAGATACTTTTTATTTTCGCTATTCATGGAGGTGATATTCCAGAAGGCGTTGTCATGTGCCCCAACTGCTTCTGTACTATTACTTGGACTCCTTGAAACGTCTCCTTTGTTGGCGCTTAGCCCCCCAACTGTTCCCATCACACTGCCATGCACTTGGTCCTCCCACGTCACCCGTTCCATACTGTAGCGGTGAAGTGGCAACGGGGGCACTTCCCAAATGTTAGAAGTGTGGGTGAGCGCACGGGTTGCACTTTCAAATGGGTCCACGAATCAAAGAAAAATTAAAAAAAAAAAAAAAAAAACAATGTAAGAGCGAACCAACACAGAGTAAATTCAACTGCTGAAACATGTGCAGCATTTCCCCGCATGTCGCTATCCCCCTAGACCATTCGCAAAAATATCACTCATGGTGAAGAAGTCCCAGGTTGAACGCACCTAACGAGGTACTGTCCTTTGTATTTTCCCTTTTACACACAAAGCGGTAAGGTAAACGTGTGAAGAGCTTAATTGGGCAACAATTCTCCCCTTTCCCTTGCCCATATTACGCACCCAGGGTGAAGTGAATTATACTCCCGCCAACGGTAACCGATGTATCCCTAACCCTCAGCATGTGTTCCTCTTTTAAAAATTCGCCCTGACTGAACTGCATTGCATTTTTGTTTTTGGTTTGATGCGTACGCAACGGTGCAATTTAGAGGAAAGAGAATCTTGAGCGATGTTATGAACACTCCCTGTTGTCACATATAAAATGAACTCTATTGCATGAACAAGCCGTTCGTGCTACATCACAAATGAGGGGGAAAAAAGTAAAATGATGTCGAGGGGCACAATTATCATTTGGAATACGTCCACGAACGGGAAGAGGAGGATGTGTCCCCAAGAGGCCATCCTCGCTGCAGAGAAATTTGCTCAAAATTGAACAAAATATTTGGAGTAACCGTATGGAAACAACCTTTTAGAGGATTACAACGAAACATGGAATGAGACATTCGCCCACTGTGGCCGCACGAAAAATGTGAGTGGGTGCTACGCTGCGTAAATTAGTTGCGCTGTATGGGCAATGTATGATAATATATATTCTTGGGCTAGTGGTGTAGTGGTATCACGTTCGCTTCGCATGCGAAAGCTCCCGGGTTCGATTCCCGGCTGGTCCATTTTGCGTATGTCGATTGGACAAAACACAAAGGTAGCACCCAGAGGTTATGAAAAAACATTTTTATTTATTTTAAAATTTTCAAGTTTTGCCCTTAATAGTATATAACTTCTCCTGTTCCCTTTAACCAACGCCGCATGTATAAAAAAATATCCCATCGGTCGACATAAACAATAAAGGCTGGAGATTTCATCAATTCGTTGAAGAAAATATAAAACAGGTTCCTGCACAATACAAAATTCTTCGACAGCTTTTTAAAAACATACATATATATATATATATATATAGTTGCAGGAAAAATAAATTATTTTAATTTGTATATAATAAATTTGCTTCTCATATCTCATCCTCTTCTTTCTCGACATAAAGGAAATTTGTTATAAAATTTTTTTCCTTATGACAGAAGCGGGATTCGAACCCACGCCTTATACAGACTACCGTCTGAAGGTAGCGCCTTAGACCACTCGGCCATTCTGTCCATAACTCATTGTACCTACAAAGCAAGCATGTATGCTCCATTGCGCACAATAAAATGGGGCATAAGCCACGTATGCTGCACTGGCCCCTCCACAAATAATATGAACATTTCATTCACTCCAGGGCCTATATCCCTTCACATACATATCTGAAAAAATAAAAAACGTCGTGCGTGGATTCCTCCATGGTCCGCCAGGCAGTATTATTTAAGTTAATAGCTCGTTTCTTTAAAAAAAAAAAAAAAAAAGAGAAGCGAACCTAAATTGCCACGTACAAAAACACAATGGGGATAAGTGTATAAACCCAGAGTAGGAAATAGATGGACGAGTACTGTCACACCTGCCTGATGAAACAATTGCGACGTTGAAATACACAGTGTGGTTACAACTGCACGGAAAGAAGCAACCAGTTCAAGCTTCCAAAGGGGGGCAGAAGGTACCCTCCGGGCACTACCTCCTTATATATGTACTCTAGTCCAGGAGAGAAAACCCATCCCTAAAGTGGCTATCAGAAACAGGCGACGAGCCCCCTTGAAAAGAGGACCACCACGGAGCATAAACATATAAAGGAGCACATACACACGTGCACACTTGTTCGATGCAATGTAAGGAGGCACACGGCCCAATAGTACGTCTGCCCAATTTCAAGCAAACGTGAGAGGTGCTTTTTTTTTTGTAGCCAATTAGGAAAGAAGCTTACCTCCACTACCTTTCACATTCATGGTGATCTGCGCAGAGGGAAGAATCACAAAGCCTGGTTGAACAACGAAGTTGTTAAAATATTTAAACAAAAGTGAGGTATTAAGCCATTTATCTGAACAAATTTTTTTTTGTTTTTCCTTTGCACAAGAATCGGATCAGTTGCAAAGGGGGAAAAACGAGAGAAGGTGTACACCTCTGCAGATGATTGCTCTTTTACATGATTGATGGCATCGCATGCCGCTCAAACGTATGAGTAGGTCCCCCCCTGGAGATGCTGTGAAAATGCCACCGTGGAATGACTAACATCGGATGCAGCCACTCTTACTCCTGCTACTCGTACCGACCATTGGCAACTGCAAGACGGGAAGAGGGAGCAAGCAAGGGGGGGACAACCGCCGCTACAGCCGCAACCGTTTACACATTGCCCTGCTGGTGCTCTCCCTAATTTGGTTCAGCCAAAATGTCGGCTCTGTTCAAGCATACCGGTTTCCCCGCGGCGGAGAACAGTTGGGCTTTTTTCCCAATGCAGGGGCGAAGAGGCACAAACGCCTTTCCCCCAGGCGGTACGCCAAAAGGGGCAGCGGCACAATTGGTAGTGGCAGTGCAAGGGGTGAGAATGCGATGGTCCCAAGTGAAGACCACCTGCCCACAACCAAAAGCACATCAAACAGTTACTTCAACTCCCTCTGCTACAACAGTGTGCTAAACAAGAGCGTAGATGAAAATGTAAATTTCGAGGATGGGATGGTGAGTTTCTTCACACTGAACCCTAATCCGAACATTGGCTTTTTGGTTGGCAGGATACAGAGGCGTGGTGGAACGGATGCGGTGCGCAGTGACGCAGCGGAAGAGTTAGAAGCAGCAGATGAGTTAGACGCACCAGAGGAGAAAGACGCGACAAAAGAGACGAACGAGGCGGCGACCCCTCAACCAAAAAGTACAAAAAAAATTCGCCTCAGGCTGAAAAGAGGATACATGAACGAAGTGTACGACAGGGAGAAAAAAAGGCTGAATGAAGTGCTGCTTTCTTTTGAGGACAAAAGTATATTCAAGGCCTCAAAAAAAAAAATAAAAGAAAACATACTTCTCCTAAATGGACAAACTGTTAACATAGAGGTGATAAAGCAATACTTGTTTCATAAATTAAGATTAGAGTATTATGAGAGCATAAGGGACCAGAAAAAGATCCTGACCTTAGATCTATGGTCCAAGGAAATTAATGTGTCGGTTGAGAATCTGAAAAAGCTCATTGTTTATATTTACAAAATGAAGACGCTGGTTCAGAAGGACGATGAAGACTTGCTCATTAAGACGTACTTTTACAACAAGACGAATATGTTTAGTTTGTTCAGGAACGGTGCTGCAGGAGGGGGGGATGTGGTGGCCCCTTTTGACTTTTCCGTGCCGGACGTGGGTTCGCAGGTTGGCGATGCAGGGAAAGAGAGCCAACTTGATGTGAGAAGCAAGAAGGGGGTAGCTTGCAACGGGGTACCCGCTACAAGTGAGCGAGTTCCCCCTGCGCCACTCCCCCCCAAGCGGGACATCTTCACCGACTACTTCGACAATAAGGAAGTGGTGCTGTACAACGACTGCGAAAATTTAATAAACTCAGAAGTTCAAAAATTCATTGAGTGCATCAAAGACATTGTCTTTTTTGAAAATTCCATTTACATGATAGAAAAGTTGGAGAACCGACCCCCCCTTCTGGAGGAAGTAGCTTTTGCATATAACTATGATAAAGATATTTTCATACAAAAGTTAGAAGTTAAAATAAAATTGTCTCAAAAATTGCTAATATATTTTATCCCTCTAATTAATAACATTATAAGGAAAGCTGAATCCAATTTTAGTAGCAACTTAAGTGAAGACGATTTTTTACTGGTGAGCTTAGATGCAGTGAAAAACGGGTTCAGAAGATATGATGTGGAAAAATTAGGAATAAAAAATTTGACAAAATATGTTTACATTTGGGCCAAAAATAGCACCTACAATTATTATCAGAAACACAAGTCCTTCGTTTCCGTGTCCCCACATACTTACAAAGATTATAATAAGATAAAAAAATTTGAAGAAAGTTTTGAAGACAAACATGACAGAAAACCGAGCATCAAAGAAATCGCTGACGCATTGTCTATGACCATGGAACGGGTTCAGAAGGCTCTCTCCTCAGCTGTAAACGTAATAGATGCTGAAAAGCCAATTGTGTATCAAAATAATAATTCAGCCCACCCAGAAAAAAACACCTACACAGATTTAATTGTCAATGCGGATGATATACATAGCATGAACGAAATTGTTTACAACGACCTTGTGATAAAGGGACTACGAAAGTTTATCTGCAAGTCGCTAAAAAAAAAAATAAACAAACTAATTATCTTTATGAAGTTTGGCCTTTTCTTAAGAAAAAAAATTTACACTGATGACGAAATTTGCCACACGCTCCACATTACGAAAAATAAATTACAAAAGCATTTTAAGCTCTCCCTAAATGAGATCAAAAAATATATTAAGAAGATTAAGAAGAATAAATCCGATGCCGATTCCAACTTGGACTTTTCTTCGTACTTCAACTTTTCTCAGTACGACTTTCTGGGGAACGAGTTTTCACAAATTTTGATATAACTGCTCGGTGCGCGTATATACGTGCGTGTATAGGGGCGTGACGAACCTCTTTGTTGAAGCCGCCTCCCCCTTTGCTCTTTCCGTTGGGAGGGCCATATCGTCTTCCTTTTTTTTTTTTTTTTTTTTTTTGTTTCGTAAGGAAAAGGTCCTTTTCGGAGTTACACCTTTGTGTCTAACATTTGGCGTTAATATTTGCAAATTTTGTTTTTCCACTTTTTTTTTTTTTTTTTTTTTTTTTGCAAACTGCATTTAGCTTCGCTGTATGATCTTGTTTTTGTTTTCTCCCCGTAAACTTGCAGAGCCGTCCGTTTTTTGTCGACACGTTGCAGTTGAGAAGCGGCAGGGGCACACCGTAGACAGACACACGTACGCTCAAGCCGCCTTGTACTTAAAGTGCACCATCGCACCCCCCTTCTTGTGGGACATCTGTACCCCCTCAACGATCCTCGAGTAAAAGCAGTTGTTATTAACCGTGACGTCCACGAGGGATTCATCCAAGTCTACATTTTCGTATACGTCTTTACCAGTGGACTGGAATCTCCTTCCTGGCAAGCCTTTCAGAACGTCCACATTTTTATCAGTACATAGATCTTCATGCTTGGTGTTGTTTGCGGCCACTGCTGCAGAGTGCGCTTTCGTAGACTCAACCTCATCGGAGCATTCTTTCTTCACAACGTCGATGGTGGCCCCAGAGGAGGCCTCTATTTGGGGAGACGCCTTTGGATGTGATCCTTCCCATTCCTCGTCAGTAGAAAACTCCAAGATGTCAATGTCTGAGTCGATGGACTCACTGGAACCCTTGCAGGAACCCTTCAAGTCGTACTCGTTAAAATGCTTGACCCCGTTATCCTTGCCATCCGTTTTTATCAAATACTGGCTAATGAACACATCGTTGGAATTTTGGCTACCTGAAATGCGACCCGACTTTTCATACATCTTTACATTATTCAGATTAAAAACTTGAACTGACCAATTTGATAACGTTTTTTTTAAGCACAAGGAGCCATGAACTCCAACGAAAATAATTTTTGTTAAGAATTCTTCATTTCGGTTATTCATTAGGAGGTAGTTTCCATGCACATTCATTTCATCTGGCAGAGTTTTGTGGTGTTGGAAGGTTAGTATGCCTGAGAGGGAGATGTATTCTACGTCTAGGTGTGTGTCATCTTTCTTTTCCCCAGCTACGTCTGAAGTGAGGTCTTCCAGACCATGTTCAGGATTTGTATCATCCGTTACTAATGTGTCGCTTTGTTTCTCCTTCGTTACTAATTTGCACTGGGCTTCGCCTCCCCGGCGTTTCAAAAAGTTGGCCGTCAAGCCTGTCACATTGAGGTTCAAGATAACCTGCAGGGCATTCAGAATGATACACAGATCTTCCGTCAAAATATGAGCACTGGAGATGGAGCTATTTTGCTTATTGTACAAGTTCATACTGTAATGGGTGACTGTCACGGAAATGACGCTCTTGATGTGGTTCAGTGCATCTCTGGCTTCGTACAGGCACTCGTCATGGACGTAGTTGTTGTTCACCCAACTGACTTGTTTAGAAACTTGTTTATATTTTTCAATCACTTCCATGGAGCGCTTACTACAGTCAGATAGGGTACCATACGTGAAGATGTGCTTTGAATGATCCAGCATCAACTCTGTCACATCTGCCTTTATGGCCCACGGGGCATCAATTACACAGAACTGGAAGTTGTACTTTGATAAGCAATCGCAGAGGTTCTTCTTCAATGTGGATACATTTTGGTAGGATCGATTTTCATCCTCCGCTTTATTATGGGCAAGGTTCATTACGTCTGCTTTTTCTGCACCACTGTGTTGGATGGTGTCCACGTCCTCCATGGAGATGACCTCATTCGCGTGATAAACCCTGACGATCTTAATTTCTGAGAGGTCCATATTTCGAGTGCTCTTTTCGTAGAGTGAACTTTTGTACTTCCTGTTCATGAAGCTTAGCACTGCTTCCTCCTCCTTGGCGAGCAAAAAAATGAACTTGAGTTTTATTCGATTTTCAAAGGAGAGGTAGTAGAGGCCATCATTCTGCACAAAGTGGTTGACCCCCACGATGGCGTAGGTGATTGGGTTCAGACAGAACTGGATGTTGTACAGGAGATCATGTGCGTGATTTAGGTTGTTGGGGATGTGTCCTCCATGTGCGCTGCGTTCACCATGTGGGTGGTGTCCCGCTTCTTCTCCTTCCTCCCCGCACGGAACTCTCTTTCGAGCCTCCCTGTTAGACAACTTAATAGCACATCTGATGAATTTAATCGATTTGTGATAATTCCGGAGTACCTTATAGCATGACGCAATGTTAATGTATGTTGAAGAGTGTCGACTCTGCTTAAAATTGCGCAAGCTCTGTTTCATATAATATATGGCTTTCTCAAACTCACCAAACTTCATACAAACATGACCACACACATCAGCGATATCTTCATCCGCCTTCAAGGAGTAATAATTATCGTAGCATTCTTTTATGTCCAGGAGGATGTCCTTCTCTGTCCTTCCATTGATGTTGGGGTAGTTGATCAAAGTGGTGAACACATTTCTTATGTTATAAAAAACATCCGAGTCATGATTAGAGTACCTCAGCAAAGAGATCAGCTCCTTTATGCTCACATTAGCAGGGTTGTTGTTGATGTTGTGGATGACTGCCTTTTGCCAGTTGATCAAGACATCAGGTGGAAACTGTTCCATGTTATCGTAGAAGGAAGAAATGGTTCCCCCAAACTTTATCGACATGCTGTTTAAATTTTTTAAGTTTATTTTTTTCATCTTTTTGTACACACATTGGTCATTCGGGGGTAAGCGGCCTGATAAGCGATTACTCAGATCCGTTTTGTTCATCCCTATGCTTCCCTTCAACCTGCAGGAGGAAGACGCCGTGCTTATTTGGTGCTGGTACCTCCTCTTTAAATACCCATCCTTAGAGCTTTTCTTAAAGTAATCAATAATATCAAATTGATTAATTTCCCCTCGACTATCCTTTCGCATCCGCTCTGTTAAATTGGAGTATGTTAAGTTTGATTCATCACCAAGGCTATTTCTTCCTGATAGAAAAACTCCTTCTTCCACCTCCGATTCATAATCGCCTCCCCCCTCATAATGCTTCTTATGCATTAATAGGGTGACGATCTGAAATGTGTCCGAGTAGGGGGTATGTATATAATGCCCACCCCGAGATAGAAAGTACAAGCAAATGGCATTTAAGTTAACCATAAAGGAAAGACTTCCATGAACTACAATATGTGGATCCCTGTGTCCCTTAAATTCTTCATAGGATTGATAACCCTTATCACCAATAAGGCATAATAATTTATTTCCACTCAATTTAAGCATCCTATCAAATAAAATGAATGCTCCGACTGGAAGGACAAAGGATAATGGTTGATTGAAGTAGGAGTACAACTTGAGCACAGTGTAAATGTCTTTATATTTTCTTAAATAATCTGATGGCTTATCCGTTTTTTCCTTTTTAATTTCTTCATCGATATTGACTTTTTCCCAGTCCCATGTAACAGACATACGTAGCATAATGTCTGCATTCGTTTTGTCTTCTTCTACATTTGGCGAGTACACAGAAAGAAGGGCCCTCCTGAAATCATCCTGCCCATTAACAACCCACGCATCGGTCAGCAGCGAATCCAAGACGTAGTTGCAAATTAGCACGATGGGTGTATTTTGAGGAATATAACTTTTGGAGACTTGTAAAAAAATTTTGTCTTCTGTTTCATTTCCATCAAAGTAAGCAAAATCGAGCATAGAAAAATTTGCATAATTTCTTACCCTTTCATCTGAATAATCCGTATCGTTATACGAAGAGGAGTAGCTGGATGTGTTTGTTGAAGAGTCGTAATTGATTTCTTCATTTTTTTCAAATTCAGAGTCATAATAAGAATTGTTTTTACTTGTGAATGTTCTATCACAACTCTCCCTTGTACTTATGAACCGCTTCAACCTCCCATTGTTCATGCAATACGTGATGTTGTCCTTCGCTATGTCTGTAAATACATACACGAATGGCCTGTCCGGAAGATTCATGCTCTTAAAATATTTCTGATATTTGGTTAATGCTCTTAAAATGAGGTACGTAAATTTTCCATGACCTGCTCCTATTTCTAATATGTATATGGGTACATTTCTGTTGCACTCGTTGCTGTTGAACCAGTCCTTCATGTAATTAATTATCACTCTTGCGTAGTCCTTGGCGATTTTGCTATTGCTGGTCACGAAGGACGGTACCACATTTTCCTTCCACGCGTTGATGGCCGCCCTCCGGTAGTAGTTCTGCAGCAGGTCCCATATGACACTGTCGCACAGCGGCTCCTTGCTCGCCACGCAAAATTTGCTCTCCGGGTTCTTCTCGACGATCACCTCACCGCCCATCATTGTGCAGCGCTATAAGGTAAGCGGTAAAGGAAGCGTCAAGTCAAGCGGCAACCGCGCAGGGAGAGGGGACACGTTAAAGTGTCACCTGGAAACAGTGTCTCAGTGGGAAAACGCCACCCCGTGCGTCCAGTTCGACGTACCTAATACAGACGAGAATGTACGAGGCATAACCTCAGTTCCGTTTGCCTATTTTTTTGTTTTATTTTTATTTTTATTTTAGTTCTTGGTTCCAAATGGCCAAACACACAATAGGGAAATTTCGTCCCGTAAGGGGCCCCCTCTTGACGCGCTAAACGCTGTCTAGGCAGGCCTGCTGTTCAACGGAAAGGAACCAAGTTGGCGTCACCATCAAGGCAAACTGTATACACACTCACGAAATATTTTTAAAAATTTGTAAAAAAGTAAGAAAAATTACGCGATAGTATGCTTATGCACATGTGCCAAAAATGCGCAAAACTGCAAATGAGCTCCAAGCCGATCACAACATACCTGTACGTGTGTAGTCAACATTTGCCGGGAAATTGCGCTAAGGTGATGCAACTAGGTGAAAATTAATACACACCTGAACAAAGGCAAGCGCGCGTGCATAAGGAAGGAATAAGCGAGCCACCCGGATAAAGGAATGTAAATGTACATACTGCCATACACGCGGATGTGATCGCACATGCATGCAATGCGTTGTAAGGTCACTCCCCCGTGCTCTGTACAATTTTCTTTTCCTTTTGTGAATGTGCCAGCGTGTAAATGCGCCTTCCATCAAGGGGTGCACCAAATTACGCCTGCACTGTACATACAGTATAATTTTGAAAAATGTCCAAACGAAAATTTTCCGCCTTCGTATGCTTTTCAATAAAAGGGCCAAAGGGGCGCATCCGCACGGGGATGGTACCTTCACAGGGCATACTTTTTTCCCCGTTGCGCATTTAAGAAAAAATATTCTGTCCCATTTGAGGTGCTTTCCTGCCCAGTGGTCCATACGGCCAAATGCGCGAACAAGTGTGCAACTATGTGCAGATTTGCGCAGAAATGTGTACGTACACCCACGCGCGCATGTGCAACTATATATTTGGGCGAGCCCCAGCAACGCCATGTGGCCTGGGCACACTTGCATCCGTTACTCAAATCATTAATCAGACTCATCAAAAGGGCTAGTAGTTATCTTCGTAAAACAAATTGTTCTACGTCTCACAACAGGTCAACCAAAGGCGTTCAAACATGAAGATCACAAATGGGGGAAAATGGAAAGGGAGCAAAATGCGAGGTACATTTACAATAAGCACAAAGGATTCAAATGTACAGAACACACAAGACGAGCAAAATAAATGGGAAAAAAAAAAAAAAAAAAAAAAAAGGGACGAAAAGAAAAGGGGGAAAAAATAAAAAATTACCATGGACGATAATGCCCTAAATTGTTGTGGATGTAACGACAGGTCGCATCCTTCCATACAGTGAGCACCGCCGTCCGGGAAAATTTACACAGAGTATACGAATGGGTGGCGTATTTTATGTACGCACTTACTTTTCCCCCAGTAGACGCAACAATGGCCGTCCATGTGGTGGGTGTATGCATGCGTAGCTTCGCCCAAGGGGGGGTGGAAGCTGGGCTGGTGCAAGGGCAATAAGGCTGAAGATGTCACCAGGTGGGTCATGTGTGATCCTACCCAGACGACTCTGCGTCCATATCGCCGCATGAAGAAAAGCAGTGGCCGCTTGTCCATTACCTTGTTCGCCGTTCGCCTGTCTGCATTATATCTGCCCTAATTGAGTTCCTCATTTTTGTTCTTCCACTTTTCGCATATGGTGGTGCTGCCGCACATGGCCTTGCCCAAGTTTAGGCTGACATTGAGGAGTATCTTGGGGTTGTTAAAATTGCTCACAGCAGCAACAATTGAGGTGGCCATCTTCTTGGGGTTCTCACTTTCGAAAATTCCGGAACCTACAAAGACGCCATCCATTCCTAGCTGCATGCACATGGCGGCATCTGCCGGCGTGGCAACTCCTCCAGCTGCAAAATTGACAACGGGTAATTTCTTTAACTTTCTTGTAAGTAGGAGAAGGTCCAAAGGAGCATTAATCCTTTTAGCATAATTATAAACTTCGTTTTCACTTAATGCACAGAGGTAATTAATTTCATTCTTTACTGTCCTTATATGTTTTATAGCTTGAATTATATTTCCTGTTCCTGCTTCTCCCTTGGTCCTAATCATAGAAGCTCCTTCTGAAATCCGTCGAAGAGCTTCTCCCAAATTGGTGCATCCACATACAAATGGTGTCTTAAATTTATGCTTATCGATGTGGTTATGTTCATCAGCCATTGTTAAAACTTCACTTTCATCAATCATATCAATTTTAAGTTCTTCTAATATTTGTGCCTCCACAAAATGGCCTATGCGTACTTTGGCCAGTACATTAATGGAAACGCTTTTTTTTATTTCCTCCACTTTACTTGGATCAACACTCCTCGCTACACTCTCCTTGCTGCGAAGCTCGGAGGGGATATTTTCCAAAACCATTACTCCAATGGCACCAGCTTCCTCTGCTATTTTTGCCTGCTCTACGCTCTTCACGTCCATTATTACTCCTCCCTTAAGCATTTCACACCATCCATGTTTGAGCAAAATAGAATCGTTATCTTTATGATTTTCCATTCTTTTGGGGGGGTTTTGTATTCGACAGGGCAGCTTTTTTAATATGACTATGTGGGCCTTGTTTTTTTTTTTTTTTTTTTTTTGCACTAAGTGTAGGGCTTACCTCTATACTTTGTGCGTATTGACAGAAATGAGGGCTGTTTTACGAAAAGTCAAAATGTCTGTTCCGCGATGTTATTTTTTTTGCAGCAAGGAAACCTCTTTTTTTGCTTCCTTAGGGTTTGATTCTTCAACAGAGCAAATAAAACAGGTAGCACCGTTCTCCGTACAGAAATTATGAGAAGTGAATAAACCTGGAATGGTAACTTTTCTTTTTCTCTATTCTTTTTTAAATACAAATTGATCTCTGCATGTAACATTCGTAATTGCTTCTATGAAGATAAATTTGGAGAACATTTTCAACATAACCAACTGTGGAATGGGACTGTTTGTTTTTTTTTTTTTTTTTTTTTTTTGTTCTGTTTTCCAAGTGCATGCGATTTATACATAAACCTATGAGAAGCGGTTTTGTAATTTCCTACATGGAACTTTTCCCTCCCTAACTGGCAGCAGCGGTAGAAAACTATAGTGCAAAATAAATTTCCCCCAATAGGTAGCAATGTTCATTGTCCCTCGGTGCGTGAACGGTGATAACAAAAATTACTATGTCCGCGGGTGCGCATTTGTAGATCCACGAATTGGGGGCCCCCCAAAGAATACACCATCGGTGCGCACGGCTCCAGCGCAGCCATTTCACGCATTTCAAGCATGCGGTAATAATTAGTATTATATATTATGCAGCGCATGCCGTCATATACGTGGGAGCAGTATGCGTTAGTGTACGTTGGTGTGGCTATGCGGCGTGCTGTACCATACGTGCTTCACAAGGCTTAAGCGCATTTAAAGGGCTTTCTCGACGCACCCCGAAATACATAATTTTTGCCGCCCTTCACAGGATGAACCCCATATATATATATGCTGCCGCGTCACCCAATTTTTGACTTCAAAAAATGGGACAAAAATAGCAGCACCATTCTCCGCGTCACTTAATTTCTTACGCATAAAATGGTTCCTTTTTTTTCCTCGGAAAAGGGACAGAAGCAAAATGTATGCTTAAATGATAGCCGCGGTGCATGCAGAAAAATAAATAAAAAAAAAAAAAACAATCAAACGAACGAACAAACAAATAAATTAAATACATGGATGATAAATAAATTAGCTACCCAACTGATAAAACGAAGATAGGCCATCTGCGTTTCCTTCCCGTAAACGGATAAACTGCCATTTAATAGGGGACGAGGAAAAAATAAAAAACGTTACTTGGGGTAGCCACTAAAACGCATAGGCGCTGCTGACTTCTTGCTTGTGGCCCAAGGTGGACCACGACTATTTGTGGATTGGTGGGCGCTCCTTTTTTCCAATTACTGCCAACGCCGCAGACGATGCTACTGAAGAGCTAGCCAAAATGAAGAACAACTTTGCGAAAAGGAAGAACAAGTTGAAGAAGGACAACAATGCAGGGTTCTCCAATGGAGCAGGCCTGATAAAGGACAGGAAAGGAAAAATGCCACGGGCAGGGGGCCCAATGGGGAAGAAGAACAAGGGGGCAGGCCACCACCTGAAAGGGAAGAAGAAGCAGACCAAAGGGAACAGCGCAGAGGGGGGGAAGAAGACCAAAAGACCTTCTTACAAAGAAAGCGCTGGGAAAGGAATCCCTACACTAAAAACACAAAAACGAAAGGGCGATGAAAACAAAAGAGAACTTCTAAACGAAAAGTGCAAAAAAATTATGAACGACGAAAATTTGTCCAAGTCCAAAAAAAAAAAATTAATAAAAGAAAATAAAAAAAAAGTGATAGTAGAAAATTACGATTACTACAAAAAATTGAGAATCAAATTAAACGACTTATTACAGACAAAGGATAAGGACGAGAAAACGAGACAAATAAATCTGCTCTATGCCGAGTTAAAAAAGATACAGCTAGCCAATTTTGCACGCACCAATTTGGGATACCACATTATCTCCTCCCTGATAATCAATGGATCAGAGGAGGTACAAAACAAATTGTGGACAAATCTATATGAACATATGAGAGATATCAGCACGTTCAATTTTACGTCCATCGTCTTCCAGTGTTTTTACAAACATGCCAAAGGTGAACAGATAAGAAAAGACATTCACCAGTGGTTGTTAAAAAACCCGAAGACCTTTTTCAGCAAATTTGCTTCCAGATTGTGGAATACCGTTTTTCAAAAACTGAAAGCAGGCATGAGAACAAAAATTACAAACTATCTGATCGTGCCGAGTGGAAAGAGCCAAAATGAAAAGCTTGCGAACGGGATAAAAAATATAACCCTTGATATATTAAAAAA